TTGTGCTTAGCTATATCATCGATGCTCGCAAACATATATGTGATACATTTCGGATTAGCAGGTAAATAGTCGTAGCAGTCCCTAACCGAGTTTATTAAAACTTGTCTAGCTTTGATTGCAGTGCAAAGTTGGCGCTTCACTGTTGCTCCTAACCCATTCACGGCTCCTTTGCCATGACTGGTTGCAAAGAACGCCCAGTCCATTTTAATTCCCCAATCTTCCACGCTGTAATTCACACTTGACATTGGGGCACCGAAATCGCGCATATGGAAACTGTGCATTTAGACATTATTTCGGTTTCTACCGAAACTGTGCATGTATGCTTTATTTCGGTGTTTACCATATGCATTATTTCGGTTTTAAACCGAAACTGTGCATGTATGCATTACTTCGTTTTTTTTCATATGCATTATTTCGCTTTTAAAACGAAAGTATGCATATGCATAATTTCGGTATTTTCTCATATGCATTATTTCGGTTTTCAACCGAAACTGTGCATGTATGCATTACTTCGGGTTTCTCATATGCATTATTTCGGTTTTCAACCGAAACTGTGCATGCATGCATTATTTCGGTTTTTGTTATATGCATTATTTCGGTTTTCAACCGAAGCTGTGCATGTATGCATACCTTCGTCTTTCACATATGCATTATTTCGGTTTTCATCCGAAACTGTGCATGTATGCTTTATTTCGGTTTTATCCATATGCATTATTTCGGTTTTGAACTGAAATTGTGCATGCATGCATTATTTCGGTTTTTGTTATATGCATTATTTCGGTTTTCTAACGAAAGTGTGCATATGTATAATTTCGTTTTTTCTAATATGAATTATTTACTTCTACTTAGTAAGGGTTTTAATCCCTAAGCGCGGCTGAAAGCCGCCTACGCAGAGAAAAGTTCTGCGCAAAAATACGTCCGCCCTTCTTTTCCGGCAATACAGAAAGGAGAATTCTACTTAGTAAGGGTTATAATCCCTAAGCGCGGCCGAAGGCCGCCTACGCAGAAAGAAGTTCTGCGCAAAAATACTTCCGGTCCCCTTTTGCGGCAACACAGAAAGGAGAATTCTACTTAGTAAGGGTTATAATCCCTAAGCGCGGCCGAAGGCCGCCTACGCAGAAAGAAGTTCTGCGCAAAAATACTTCCGGTCCCCTTTTCCGGCAACACAGAAAGGAGAATTCTACTTAGTAAGGGTTATAATCCCTAAGCGCGGCCGAAGGCCGCCTACGCAGAAAGAAGTTCTGCGCAAAAGAACTTCCGGCCCCCTTTTCCGGCAACACAGAAAGGAGAATTCTACTTA